TTGGGTTTCCGAGGCAGCATCTCTATGGAAGTAGATTGATTGCCCAATCTTCCTTCTGAGGAGTGGCTGGTCGGTTTGAACCGCCAACCTTCCGGTAGCAGTCAAATGTTTTAGGCACTATGTCGCCAGAGCTCCTAAGAGACCAAATATAGTGCAGCAAAAATCGTTTGGTCCTAAGAGAGGAGGTAATAAAGAAAGCTGCCAGGAAATTATGGTTTGTGGTAAGGTAGTACAGGAAGGCTAAGTGACAGGAAAATGCACAAGCACAGTTTTAATCAAGAATTGATCTGTATTAAAATATATTTTTTTCATCTTTACAAGCAGTATGTAAGTAGAGAATTACACAGGCATTACTTTGTAAGTTATGGTAAGAGCTATTAAAAACATAAAATTGATGCAGAGGGAAGTTATATTTACTTTTCTAAATATCTTTTTCACAGATATTTAAGATCTAATGAACTTTCATTTTCAATTATTAAGTGTCTTCAAGACTGGTGATAGGCAATGCTAGTGCTTTTATCCCTTCAGCTCACTCCCCTACTGAGAAGCCTTTTGTATACTATTCTTATTGCCTCTCTCCTTAAACCTCTACCTCTATTTTCCCCATCTTGGCTCTTAATGATCACTTTGGTTCCAATTCATTAAGAAATCAGGAGCAATTAGAAGAGAACTTCTGTATGCTTCTACGTCTTATATACCCAGCTACTTGCATCTGCAGCCATGTTCTCTGCCTTCATCTGATTCCAATGGATAAACTGGGTACCAGATCCCTTCCCTTTTGACAATCCAAGGACACTGTTCTAGCAATTATCCCTTTTCTTTTGCATCATCAATTTCTCCCTCTCTATGGACCATTTTCATCAGTATACAAATCTACTATAATGTCTTCTATCTTAAAAACAACAAAAAACCTTCCTTGACTCCTAAACTATGTGCATGTGCACGTATACAGACAGGCTGTACTCTAAATCCCATCCTGAGACTGCTAGCGAAGGACTTTATTATCTGCTATGACTGCACTGCACACACAAAGACATTTTACAAAGTGTTGGCAATTGAAAGCTGATACTTTATAGAATGTAAACAGAAACTAAGAGAAATAGGTTACTTATAGAAAGCAAACAGTAAACAACAGAAAAAGATCTGAGGTGAACTTCTGCAATGCAGTGAATTGCTTAATGGGCCCTTTAGCCACAGTCCTTCATTTTGTGATGTACTGTAAATTCTAGCTTTTATGTTTGTGGCTATGGTTCCATTTTGGGGTTAGTTGTCTGCTGCATTGATGAGGAAGGATAGGAGTGGGATATATCTTGAGTCTTGCCTTGCTGGAGGGTTTGACTCAACTCACCACCTTTAGTTTCCTTGAGGGTCTATGTGTGAATGTTCTGACAAATTTCACTTTCTTGCTCTGGATCCTGCATTTAGTTTGTCGACATCTCAACCCCAGACCTGAGATAGCAGCTAGTTGTCTGACTTGCTGATTTGGGTTCATCAACCCCTGCAACTACATGAGTGAGGAGAATATTCCAGATCAATGCCTGACCCAGGGATTTGGGACTTGCTAGCCTTCATCACCATTTCCTTGGCAGTTTGTGAGTTCTGTGACACATTATAACCAAATACGGAACCCTAAGATGGGAGGGAGAGTACTGAGGGGAGGAGGAGCTGATGTTAGAAATGATGGAGTAGCACAGCAGTTTGGAAAAGTTGGACATCTGGGACATATTTAACCTGTGCCTCATAGGGGCCAGGCTTGTACTGGTCCTTCTAAAATAAATTATTTGAGCAACTTTTATAGGCAACCCCTGTGATAGTTACGGCTGTGTCAACTTGGCTGGGCCTGGTTGAGTGGCTGGGAAGCTGGTGGTAGTTACTCCCCATGATAAGAGTTGCAATCAACTCCATGGGGGGATCTACCACAAGCAGTTGAGTAGCTGCTTTAGGGATGTGGTCTGCTTCCTGTATATAAAAAACAGCCTTGGGAATAGTCTCAGTCTTTTGGCCTATTTGAACTCTGCAAGTAGCCACGTTGTTGTTCAATAGCCTGCTGTGCCCTGCCAATCCTGGGACTTCATCTGGAGTTGAATTAGTGGCCTGCCATGTTGTTTAGTAACATTGGGACTGACTTTACTTGTCAGACTTGGGTTTGTCAGCCTCAGCAGCCAGCAGTCGTCCAAGCGAAGAAAAGCCTCCAGCTTCAATGGGCTGGAAGCAGGAGGCAGAGCTGAAGCTCAAGGTTGAGAGGCTTTCACCCAGCCTGTAGAACCTGGCACTCTGAACTTAGACTCAAAGCCTCCAAAATTATAAAAAAATAAACTCCTGTTTGTTCAAGCCATCCCATTTGCGATATATTCCTGTCAGAGTGGCACTAGGTAACCAAAACAACCCCTGTATGGTGTATGCCCAAGCCTCTGTGGGAAACTTCTCAGCCCTCTCAGGACTGACTTCCTCTTGGTCTTAGTGTTACAGTTCTCAGCATAGTTGGGGCATCTGCTGCTGCCAACAGCAAGCCAACGTGGCCTCCAGGCTGTTGTTTACTCTGTTTGGACATCTGCCTACACGGACTGTGGCTACTTCCCCCTTATGAGGCACCCAACTAAGATGGCAACCTGCCAAGAGGTGCCCAGTTCTGCTCTGTGGATCGACTCTTCCCACCACGGCCATCTACTCTGTGGGCCGACTCACCCACCATTGTCATCCTGACCACTCTCTTTACCACTGGGCCTCTTGCCAGTGGCTCTGCTGCTGTGCCCCTTCTGGGCCTCTTCTGTGTTATCAGATCAGTGTTACAACTTTTGAGCTTTTTTATTTCACTTTATTACAGCTCTTTCATTTGGGTCTTAGAGGCTTTCAGTACAGAGGCCCTGGCTCCAAAGGACACACTCTTTCTGTGTTCTTTTTCATCAGGAGTTCCCTCAAAAAATCTCTGTGAGATTGGTAATTATACAGGAAAACTGTCAATTTCAAGCCATAGCTTTCCTAGTAGGATCATAAATTGATCAGTTCCTTCAGTGGATTGTAAACCAATCAACCTTACTGGGTGGACTGCAACCATCTTAGGTGGACAGCACACCAACCAATGCTTATAAGCTGCCTAAGCAGAAAGCACATAGAACAATCGTGTGGCAGATTGTGGCCCAACCACTCATTGTGGGAAAACTACAAACCCAGAGCCAGAAAGACCACATAAAAGAAACCAATTGTACCATAATCCCATATCCTCTTTTTATTTATGATCTAATTGCTCTGTTCCTTTTTGTAGCAAAATTCCTCATTAAGAATTATTTATATGATTTCCAATTTTTCTCCTTTAGACTCTCTTTAACCCACTCCAAAAAGGCTTTACACTAAGAGCATTCTATACTGCAAAATCCAAAGGTCAATTCTCAGCTCTCGTCTTCTGTGGACTATTTCAGTAGTATATGACATGAAACAATTCATTCACTTGGTTTTCAGGACAGCATTCTTCTTTGGTTCTCTCTTCCTATCTCACTGGTTGGTCCTTTGCTGGCTCTTCCCCAATTCCCCAACTTCTTACAATGAAGTGTGTCACACCTCAGTCTGTGGACCTCTCCTCTTCTCTATCTATACTCATTCCCTACATCATTTCATCAAGTCTTGTCTTATGGCTTTAGTTACCATCTATGTGCTGATGATGCCATGATTTCAAAATGTATCTCTAGTCACGTTCTCCCTAATCAACTCCACACTGATAAATCCAACTGCCTTCTTGACATGTCCAGCTCGGTGTTTTAACAGAGACCTCAAACTTACCATGTCCAAAACTCAAGCTCCCAACTTTGTTCCTCTTGTAGACTTTCTCATCTCAATAAATTGAAATACCATTCTTCTACTTATTCAAAGAGCACTGGTGGCATAGTGCCTAAGGCACTTGACTGCTAACCAGAAGGCTGGCGTTTCAAACCCACCAGCCATTCCTCAGAAGGAAGACTGAACAACCTACTTCTGTAGTGATACTGCCTCAGAAACCCAAGGAGGGGTCACTACAAGTCAGATCCAACTTGATGGCAGTGAGTTTTAGGAGCTCTGGTGGCACAGTGCCTAAGGCATTTGACTACTAACCAGAAGGCTGGTGGTTCAAACCCACTACCCAGCCACTCCTCGGAAGGAAGGCTGGGCAATCTACTTCCGTAGAGATACTGCTTCAGAAACCCAAGTAGGGGTCGCTATGAGTTGGGACCAACTCAAGGCCAGAATCCTTCAGGTCATTCTGTACTCATACAAGCCAGGTCCAAGGTACCATCATTTCTTGCTTGGATTATTAGAACAGTCTCCTAATTCATCTCCCCATTTCTGCCTTTGCCCCCTTTATTGCTCCCACACATTGTTTATTCTCTACTTACCAGTCATTAATTTTACTTTTCTGCTCAAAATCCCTCAGTAGCTTTCTATCTCAATCAGAATATAAGTGGAAGACCTTATTATAATTGGCCATAAGATTCTGTATCATCTGACCTCATCTCCTATCATCCTCCTCCTCATTCACTCTGCTCTAGACACACTGGTGTCCTTGCAGCTACTTAAACAGGCCAAGCATACTCTTTCCTCAAGACCTTTGTCCTTGCAGCCTCTACCTTGAATGCTCTTCTCCCAGATATCTGCATGGTTTGCTTCCTACCACCTTCAAGTCTCTGCTCAAATGTCATCTCTACCACAGAGGCCTTCCCTGATTACACTATATAAAATAGTAACACTTTCCCCAACTGTGGCCCTCTTACCATAATGCTTTATTTTTCTCAACACTAGTCCCCATTTTTCTATTTTTTCCCACAGATCTATACCTTAAGTAATTCAGAGAGTAAAAGGTTCATTTGGTAATAATAACTTCTGTGAGGGTCAAGTCAGTCTCCCAGGAAATGGACCATCTCTTCGCTGGTATTGGACTCTACACACTATAAAATATTAATATAGAAACTTTAAACAACTAAATTGCTATTCTGTTTTCAGAAAAATAACCCATTTTGGAGGCATCAACTTACGTTTTAAAACACGGGTCACCAGACATTAGCTGCATGCTGATCAAAACCTATACATAAGAAAAACAAATAGCATCATTAAAATGGATCTCTTGAGAGAAGCCATGTTCCGCTAATATATGCATCCTCCACAGCATCCATTCCAGTATTTTCTGTTTAAAAAACATCAAATAAAATGATTATCGAAATGGTAACATCCAGTATTAAATTACTGCTTTGTACATGGATTATAAATAATTTTTTTACGTTAAAAACCCTGTTAGCACAAAAAATGAGAGTAGAAAAGACAGAAACAAAGAACAAAGTGCTTCACCAGGAATAATCCTGTGGGAGTGTGGCTGTGCTGATCTAGTCGATCTGTCTTTACTCCCAGATTCCTGTGGCGCTTAAGTGTCTGGTACTATTTCCTTCCAGCCTGCTGTTCTGATGCCTCAAAGGATGCCTGCTGTTTCCAACAGTGGAATGCTCCTGGCCTTTGCTCTAGTTATAGAGCAGGGTTTAACATTTTTCTAACACTTTCTGAATTGCTGCTGTTCTTTAGTTATTGGCTGCCTTTCAACAATCAGCTAGCCATGGGATCTTACCATGTTCCTACGGGAATAATAATGATAATGGTAGTAATGACAACATTAACAACAATCATGATTTGAAAATTTATTATGTGCCAGGCATAAGGTGTTTTATATGCATTATTTCATTTCATCTTCAATAATCCTGAGATGGGAGATTCTTTCCTGTTATGCTCAAAGGTCCCAGAGTGGTATGAATGGTCTGCACTCAGCTAGTAACCCAAAGGTTGGCTGTTTGAAGCCACCCAGTGGCACCATGGAAGACCAGGCCGGAAAAGCGGCTTCTATGAAGATTACAGCCAACCAGACACTGGAGCCTACAGAGTCTCTCCAAGTGAATACACAAACAGATACCTCGTTTTGTGCTCAGGGAGACTAAATGATATTTTCCAGGTTGGCTATCTGGAAAAAGGCAGAGCTGGGATCTGAACCCAAGACTGCATAAAACAAAAGCTCATGGTCTCAATGAGTATCAGGCTGTTTATATTAGTATATGTTTACTACCTAATGGCTAACATAACGTGGTTATTCTTACATAACCCCATTTCATTCTTGTATCTTTACTCTACTACATGTCTCCATTACTATCTTTTTTTTTTTTTTCTTTTTTCCTTACCTGCCAATTTATCAAATGACCTATATGTATTGTGCTGGTTTCTCTATCATTTCTTCTTTCATAGGACCCTACAATCTGGTTTACAACTCCATCAAAATAGCACTCTTAAATGTCTCAGGAAGAAGGTAGATATGGCACTAAAGTTGAAAAAAAAAAAAAGTTTTGTACTGAAGTATAGTAGAGAGTGAGACAGTGGTTGGAGGAGATGAGAAGTGTTTTTGTTTTTTAAATATGAGAGATACCAGAGCTGTTTGTTTATATGTTGATGAGGATGGTTCATTAGAGGGAGAGATGATTAGGAGGGGGATCAACTCAAGGGGCACAGGTCTTAATTAGGTAAGCTTTGGATTCTAGAACCCAAGAGGAAGGATTGATTTCTCACAGGAAGAACAGCATTTCATCCATTTTAACAGGAGGCAAAACGGAGGATAAGGCTGTAGAGGCAATTTGAGCTTAATGGCTTCTGTTTTCCCAATAAAAGACAAAATGAGGTCATTAACTGAGAGCTACAGTAGTATTAGAAGGATATGAGGAGAAACAAAGTTAGAGATCTACATAAATGGAAGAACATCCCATGCTCGTGGATAGGAAGATTGAACATTATGAAAATGTCAATTCTACCCAAAGCAAGCTATACATTCAATGCAATCCCAATCCAGATCCCATAAACATTCTTTGTTGTTGTTGTTGTTGTTATGTGCCGTCGAGTCGGCCCCGACTCATAACGACCGCTCCTTGGGTTTCCGAGGCAGTATCACTACGGAAGTAGGATTGCCCAACCTTCCTTCCGAGGAGTGGCTCAACATTCTTTAGGGATATGGAAAAACCAATCATTAACTTTATATGGAAAGGAAAGAGAACTCAGATAAGCAAAGCACTATTGAAGAAGAACAAAGTAGGAGGTCTCACACTACCAGATCTCAAAACCTACTATACAGCCACAGTAGTCAAAACTGCCTGATATTGGTTTAATGACAGATACATAGACCAATGGAATAGAATTGAGAACCCAGAAATAGATCCATTGACCTATGGTCAGCTGATCTTTGATAAAGGGCCAAAATCCATTAATGGGGAAGAGAATGTTTGTTTAATAAATGGTACTGGCAAAACTGGAGATCCATTTGCAGAAAAATGCAACAAGATCTGTACCTCACACCATACACAAAAATGAACTCCAGATGGATCAAAGACTTAAATGTGAAACCCAAAACTATAGAGTTCCTCAAGGAAAAGCTAGGGGCAAATTTAGGGGCCCTAATATATGGCATAAATAGACTATGAAGCATAACTCAAAATGTACAAACAGCAGAAGAGAAACCAGATGATTGGGACCTTCTAAAAATTAAATTTTTGTGTGCTTCCAAAGACTTCTCCAAAAGAGTCAAAAGAGAACCTACAGATTGGGAAAAAATATTTGGTAATGACATCTCTGATAAGGGACTTATCTCCAGAATTTATAGAACACTCCAACACCTCAATAACAAAAAGACAAACAGTCCATTAAAAACTGGGCAGAAGACATGAATAGACACTTCACCGAAGAGGATATTCAAGCGGCCAACAAACATATGAAGAAATGCTCACGATCATTAGCTATTAGAGAGATGCAAATCAAAACAACAATGAGGTACCACCTTGCTCCAGCACTAGTAGCAAAATTCAACGAGACAGAAAATAACAAATGCTGGAGAGGATGTGGAGAGATTGGGACTCTCATATACTGCTGTTGGGACTGTAAAATGGTACAACTATTCTGGAAAGCAGTATGGTGATTCCTTCAAAAGTTGGAACTAGAAATACCATTTGACCCAGCTATTCCATTACTAGGTATATATCCTAAAGAAGTGAGAGCCAGGACAAGAACAGATATATGTACACCCATGTTCATCATGGCACTATTTACAATAGCCAAAAGATGTAAACAACCTAGGTGTCCATCAAATGAGGAATGGATACCCAAACTATGGTATATACACACAATAGAATACTATGCAACCCTAAAGAATAATGCAGAATCGGCAAAACACCGCATAACGTGGATGAACTTGGAGGACATTATGCTGAGTGAAATAAGTCAATCACAAAAGGACAAATATTGTATTAGTCCGTTATTGTAAAAGTTAAGGAAATGTTTATCTACACAAGGACATTTTATTTGTTGGTTACCAGGGATGGGAGGGGTGGGTAGGGAATACTGTTAGATAGATAGAGATAAGTTTTGATTTGGGTGAAGAGAAGGGCAATGTACCAAATGGGAGTGATCAATATAGTGGCATGGAGGAAGAGAAAGAGAGAGGTACATGTGAAGTACAGACAACAAAGATGAACCCTTTTGCTCATATAGTACGGCGTAGTCAGTGAAGGCAAACATGGGTATATTGGTGGATAGATGGGTGGACAGGCTGAACTATTAGGTATGTCTATGAAGGGGGAGTGTACCCAAGAACATATATAGGGTTGGCAGACAATGGTCCTATATCTTTATGTGTATGATCTGAATTCCCAGATGTATAGTGGAGCTGACAAGGGGCAAGGTTGTAGTCACTGCTTGGTAACAGCCAGCCACCCAGAGGGACCGAGGAGTTGAACCTGCGGGCTCGGGACCATAGTTGCAGAGGACATCAAGCTCAATTGGCATAACATACTACACAAAATACTGTTCCACCTCCTACTGTGGCGAGTAGCGACTAGGATCTTAAAAGCTTGCAAGCTGCTATCTAGATGCAACGATGGGTCTCTCCTCATCCAGAGCCAAGAAGAATGAAGAAAACTGAAAATTTATGGAAACAATTAGTCCTAGCAACTGGTATACCATCCGATCTGCAGCCTATATGACTATGAGACCAGAAGAATTAGATGGTGCCCGGCTACTACTATCAACCACTTGGAAGAGGATCTATGTAGGAGATCCTAGAAAGACAGGGAGAACAATGTGGAACAGAACTCAAAATCATTCTGAAAAAAAAAAAAAAGGTGGTGACCAGGTTTGCTGGCCCGATAGAGCCCGGTGGAACCACTGAGACTATGGCCCCTAGCTTCCCTTCAAGTCTGGAATTGAACACACGCCTGTGGCTTCCAGGCAACCACAGACAGGCACATGAGTTGAAGATTTACCTGAGGTAGATACACTCCTTGGAGAGAACAAGCATGGGAGAAAGAAGGGCTGCTTATGCACAGGGAGACAGCTCAGGGGGCAGGAGTACATGGAGGAATGGACACAGGGAAGAGGTAACTATTGGGAGGAAGTAGGAGGGGAGATGTTGCAGTGTGGTAAATTGTGGTCAATGCATGATACAAAGTGTATGTGAACTGCTGTATGCAAAGTGTATTTGCTCTGTAAATTTTCACCCAAATCACAATAAAAAGAACAGAAGAATAATATCTAGGAAAGTGGGAAAGGAAGCTTAAAAAGGAAGTAGAATACCATTGCTGGATGGTGGTGAGCATGACTTCAGTCACACCAGGTACTTTGGTTTTGAGATCTCTAGCAATGTTCAATGACCTGGAGAAGACAGCTGAGTTCAACTGGGACTGGGGATGACTCAGAGGAAAGCAATGGGGGGAGGCAGAGACAAAACATAAAGGAATAATTTTGAGCATTATTACTATAGATCATGGACTCTAAGCTGGTTAGAGAGGGAAGTGAAGGCAAGTGAAGAGGGGGCTGACAGTGAGACTGGCAGGGTTAAATACAGGTAAGTGATTAGCAGACCAAGAAGGCTGGAAGCATTAAGAGATAGTGGTAGGAGACAGGACAGTGATAGTGGAGTTTCCAGCTTTTATTCATAGTCATTTTTCCTTTTTCTATTAGATAATTTATCGTCATAGGGTAATCTAAGTAAAATACAGAAAAAAATTTATT